ATTTTATTTACAGGATAAATTAGCATACCCCATGTGTAGAAATTTAATTTCAGTAGTATTTTTTAGTGCTCATTTGTTATGAAGTTTCTAAATCTGCTGATCATCATAGTGTACAGTTATGGAATAATAGTTTTTGGTAAAGAGTAATTGTTAGAACCATATATGCTAAAATATATTATCAGATATTTGTTATGAACACATTGAATTTCCTAGGGTCAGAATGTTTTACCGAAATAAATTACACAATACAAAATGTTTTCTTTTCTATTGATCCCTTTGGAAGTCTTTTTAATAAAAAATTTGTTACTTCTTAGTCATTTTAACACCTCAGTGCCAATTTCATTGATCAAGGAATTTCCGTGGCATTCCACAAGGTGCCATTGATTGAAACAGGTGTACTCTCTATCAGCCCACACCCAGCAAGTTCCTTCTTCACCAGGACACAAAATGATCAGCCCAACATCAGATGGATGGTACTTTTATAATGATGGCTTGTATGTAACATCTGGGTGAGGAGCTTTGAGTTGTTGTAATTATACCCACACAGGACAGTATCACATCAATTTATTGCTTCTCAACAAAGAGACATTGAATCTATCTCTATCCCACACAGTTCCAGAAAGATGGTACTTGCTCATAATTCCCTATTTGTAAAATTTTGTTCAGTAGTTAGGAATATAATTTGAGTGAAAATACATTGGTTGCCTTGTATGTAATACTCTTAGAACAGAGTGGATATTTTTCTATGTATAACATTTGAAGTTCTTAAAGGGTCAGTATATACAATAACATTGCTTATCTCCTTAAAGCAAATTGAGTTCAACTATTGAAGCCTGGATTCCATTCTATTGATGCAGCCCTGGGGCCGGATTCTCAAACGCGTTAAGGCGACATATCTCCTTAAGGCGCCTTAACTTACGGCCAGCGATCTTACGGCCCATGCACAGAGCAAGGAACCCGCCATATTGGCGCGAGTTAATTAAGGCGCCCTCGGTTAAGGTAGGGGGAAAGCAGCCTTAGCGAGTTACGGCGAAGCATAAATCACATTTTTGAGCCCTAGAACAATTAATACATTACAATTTGTCATTTACTCAATTATAGTGTCATTAGGTGTACATAAACCAATTGTGGACTACTAGATAAGGCAACAAGTGTAGTATTCCAACATAACTGATTTACTTTTCCCGATAGATGCAACCACATCGTTGTTTGAGTGAGTAGAATAATTTTATAATAGTTTTCGTCGTGTTCCGAGTGAATCTAGCGCTCATTTCCTTCGCAAACGAAGTATAACTACGATATCGGTCCCGATAGCTGGGTAGGACGGTGACGACAAAGGTGTCGAGAGTCCTACATTACTCATATGTTGTTTTCCCAATTAAAATATTTTCGTTTGTACTTCGTTGATGATGTTGGAGATGAATTCTAGTAACATTTGAGTCAATATTCATTCGTAATAATAATATTATGTTAATTTCAGTAACAGTTGATAAAGATATCTCTTCCGTGCTTCCTTGATGGCAAATCACAAATCATGTAGAAATCTGTTCTTCTATCAACCCTCTGCGCAGATGGTGGGATGGTAGATTTGACGAAGAAAGTCAGTCTTCCCGCATGCCTCTTCGGAGTCCCAGGTTCACACATGCGCGTTCTCGGCCCTAACGTCGGCAGAAACGAAGCAGACGGCAATGATTAATCGTATTTTCTAAAATATTGTATTTGCATAGATTTCAAGACATTTTGTTTTATTCTGTGTGTAGTTCTCTTTCACATTAGTATATTTAATAAGGAATTACGTTTCAAATCGATATTTATATTTTCAATTGAAGTTCCTTGACTTGACCCTTGTTTTAGGTCAAACATCCCTGCAGCCATTGAGGCGTATCATTCTTAGCGCTGGGACGCAAATTGCTCTTGAGACTAAGGGGAAAACACTTCCTATAATTCATATTCTAAACAACCGTTGTTGATTAAACATTTCTTTGCTAGTAATATCAAAGAACTGATACTACGGGCCTATTAACCCGGGGCGTCATTTGTGAGGGTCTGCCCCTTCGCCCTACCAGTAATATTTGACACAAAAAGACTTTTTATTCACCTGCTGTCCACAGGCACTGCGGCTAGAAGTAAATGACCGACGCAGCTACGAACTCATCCACCTTATTTACAAATGATTCTACGGACTGATAGTGCTTTTCCTGTTTTTTTTTTTTTTTTTTTTTTTAAATCTGCAAGCCGTGTGCTAAGTAATCGATCTGACAGTCCCATACGTTTTATGTAAGCCATACCAAAATATGCGTATTGTTAATGAATATACTTACTACAAAATCATCGTTCGTGAATAAGTAGATGATGATGATGAATGATTGCTGAATATATCGACTATAAGAAGGCCGTCGATACTTGTTCAATGGAAGCTTCGTAGTTTCGCGACCCTCAAAGTCGACTCAGCTGTGAGTCTTGGCACCAACTGCGGTCAAGTTCGCAGCGGAAAGGAACGAGCCTGAGTCGACACTGACTCGGTTGAGCTGATGAGCCAAGGCTGAAACCAAAAAGAAATTTGAACGTGTATAAAGGGTAATACATGCAAAGCCTGCTTCCCATGTGTGTCCACATCTAGACCACGTGTTGTGGCAGGGGCGCCATGTGTGTAGAAATAAGAAATATCTTGTCTCACACCCCGAGCTTCTCAGTGACGGCTTCTGACCTGAGTTGCCCTCCCGGCTCTCGAGCCGGGGAATCCACCCAGCGCCGTTCTTAGTGTATCGTTATTCTTGTATGTGTTGTAACTCTTAGCAATAAAGAGAACAGCCACACACCGTGTATCCCTGTACACCATAAAACAAGAAGAGCTGTTAGTAAATCTCACATCGTGTTAGGCCACACTTTAAAGAGTAAATCAAAGAATTTCGAGGAATTGCAAAGGACAAACTAGCAATAACACACAAAAGCAATGCAAAGACCGAGATCAACGTCCCCTTCGATCTGCAAGTAAATTCACATTTCGGAGTCAAAGACGGGATCTCAACGAAGCATCGAGGCTTTTTATATGATTTTATTTCATCGTTATTTCTTCGACAGCTTTAATCTGTCTTTAATAAGGCAGATAGTAGATTGAGAGACTGTGCAGTGAGGAGAGAAAATAAATTTCATTTCTTAGTACTTTAGCGATACATCGGTTGCAGCAGTGTATCTCTTTCAGCCATTGGCACAGCTGTGACCATCAGTGTTTCTCAAAGGAAGCTTGTGAAAGACATCTGGCTCGGAGAGATCCCACGCTCAACAACCAGGAGAGAATTACGGTGGTATTTTCCGAAAATAATGATCATGAAAGCTTAATACATCGTTTTATTTTAATTTCTTATCATATTTTCTATATAAAGAATCCTTAAATATTGTTGGAACTGCCTATTCATATTAATATTCGTCAGACAGAAATATCCTTCGTTCGCATTATCCTGGAGCCGTATATTGATATATGGTTCTGCCTTATCTCTCCTCCGTCTTGTATCACCTGAATCCGCTATTTAGATGTTATTTGGAATATAGAATAATACTCATGACAATATTTCGTACGCCATTATATTCCCCAAATGTTTTCAATTATTTCATTAGCAAAAATAACGAAATGAATATGTAAAAGACGGATTGAACAGGAGATATAGAAAGAAATGGGTTTCTTGAATAGTTTGGAGTGGGAACACCGGCAGGGTGTTGGACACCAGCCGCTGAAACGACAAATAAAGGCGCAAGAATAGGCTGAGTCAAGGCTAAGGGTAGAGTGAAGCTAGAGTCGGCCTTTCGCGGGGTGAGTGAGCAAGTGTGAGCCGGGAAAGGGGTTCGCTGGGAGGTGCCTAATATACCCAGGTCTAAAGATGGTCATCCTATAATTTGACACGAAATAATATGTTCAAAATATGTTTCGCTGCACCTACATCCTAAATACCCCACCATTATATGCACCGCTGCATACATTCACTACATTTCATTTCACATCATTTACTTTCACCTACAGCTTCGGGGTCAATATTATAAATTATGTTGACCGACGATGCACTTTGAATTAATTTGCATCTGACTTTAAACTGATATAATAAATATGAATACTTTCAATGAGTATTACCATTGCCCTCGAAATTTTGTAGCCAAACCCATTTATTAAGGTTTGATAGCTCAAGAGCCGCTATTTGAAACGATACATTATTCACGACCACAAATATTACACACTGTGTGAGAGTGAGAGGGTGGACGCTAGCTTTAATAGGATGGGACTGAAAAATAACAGAACACACTCCTTGCTTTGCATAACGAACCCTGATCACCCCCATTCTCCTCCCCCCCCTTTCCTAACTATGTCCAGCTTGTTCGAACGTGGGCCTCCTTTCAGAGCAAGAAGGGCTTGATCTCTCCAAGCCAGTCTGGCGAGGCGACATCGCTTTTGTTGTCGGCTGTGCTAGTCATTCTCCCCAGCCACATACATTTTCATTTGGACAGGGTCACTCACATCAAATCTCGTTTATTTCGTCTAATTTACGTGCCATAAAATATCTTTAATATTAATATCTTATAAACATCAGCAACTTTCTAATCGCCAGTTGCATCACAGTGACCACCGAGTAATGTTCGCCCATCATCACCACCAAAATCATCATCAGTCACCCAATCCTTTTTCCTCGCACACCCAGTGGGCTAATGACCATCACTGAACCCCGTTAATGACCCCCAACCGAGAAGCCGTCAGCCGAGGGAAGTCTGTTAGACTGAAGAAGTTTATTTATATCTATTTATTTATTTCTCACAATAGAAGCAACGACAATGATGTTACTGAGAAAGATGGTGACTGTAACAACAACTATAATACTGATAACAGTGATGAAAATAATGGTTTTAGTTTGGTAATGCTGAATGTGGCGCTGATGATGATAACACTAACAACACCGATATTAGAATGTTATATTATTACTTGGTTTTCTCCGAAGATGCACTTAGTAATAATAAAATTTTAAGGTTTATTGTTAATACTTTTCCAGAACACTAAATGACAAGACCTGAAAAGAAAGCAAAGGTGATGAAAAGAAATGTAAACTGACATAGAATCGAAGAAAATCCTGTTGAATGATGATTAAAAAAAAGAAACCTTGGGTAATTCCCCAACCTTGCGTGGCAACTGAAACTATCCCGCGGAGAGTGACGAGGAACAAGCAAAGGAAAATTCATCTCAACTTTCTGGGATATTTCTCACAAAGCCTTGCAAAGGTTACCTGGAGCCGTTTAAGGAAGGCGAAAGATCGTCGAGTCCTTGAGCCAGTCCGACGGCTTAGCTCCTCGACTGTCCAATCCTTTTGGGAAAGAGACCGCATGGTGCTTGCTTCTCTCAGTGAGTTGTGGTTAATGATAAGGATATTGTAGGGATTAGTGTATATGTCAGTTCCATTCTCGAGGCGACGCAGATCAGAGCAAAGATTTTCACTTGGATAATACCTTCACTATGAAACTGGTGGTCTTCGTCAGGTATTTTCACAAACACGAATTTATGAATAACAGGAATCTGAATCACAATCGAAATGTAATCACACAACAAAAGTACTGATACACAGCCAACAGAAATAAAAGTAATTGCGAGATACGATTCGCTAATGCGTGCTCTATCAGGTCCGTCACTGACAAAGGGCAGACCCCGGTATGACGTCATCTGGAGCAGAGCCTGGGGGTTCCACGCTAATCGCGTGGTCATTCTCTGATGTGAGGGAGAGCCGTAAGGATCTCTCCCTCTCTCCGTTTTCGCTCGCTTGACTGACTGGCGGGTGCAAAGTCACAATGCCCAGTGGTTGGTTGCAGCTTATATATGTACATTTATGTGTATGTTTATGTATTGCCATTATTATTATTATTATTATTATCATTATTATTGTTATTGTTGTATGATTCGTTTTATAATAAATTCATCAAAAACATTTGGAGTTTACTTATGCCATGTCTTTTTTTATTTATTTTACGTCTTTATTATGCCATGTTTAAGCTGCAACATGAGAATTACAAAACTAAATTCACGTAGAATATATGATATAGGCCTACATACAATCGCTGATAATCATCGCCTGCAAAACATGTCTAATATGCAAATCGTTCAACGTGCCGACATCTGAAATTACTCAAGTATCTGCTCATATACTACCATTTTCTATTATCTATGTCCCTGCCTACCATGCAGTAATTCCCCCCGCCCCCCTTGCTCTCAGCTCCTTCCAGGTGACGTCATAGGCCTTATCACCCAAAGCTGCGCAGAACTCCGAAGTGACGAGACCTGTACTTATATAGACCTTGAATGCGTGGGCCTTGGTATGTGAATAACTCATCCCGTTGAATGTGCGTGTGTCTGGGCCTTGTAATAGATACGGTGCTTTCCACTGCACTCTGCAGTAGGGTATTACAGTCTTTCCTTTAATGATGATTTATCACGCCAGGCAAAAAATCTTACAAATGCCGTTGGTACAGGAAAAGAAGAAGGGAAAGGAAAACGCTGCACCTCTGAAAAGGTTTCAATCCGGATAACGATGATGAAAATGATAAAGAAATATTATTATTATTATCATTATTGTTATAATAATAACAATTATTATTATCATTATTATTACTATTATTATTAACATTGTTATTATTATTATTTTATCATCATTATTACTATTATTATTATCATTATCATCATCATTATCATTATGATAATTACCATCACTACTAGCGGAAACCATGGAAATTTTCCGAATAAAGAGGTATCTCCTCTCCCTCGTTCATCCTCTTCCTTCTGTCTTTTGTCTCCCCTCTCCCTTTCCTCCCCCTTTCCCTCTCCTTCTTCCTCACCCGTTCCCACTCTGCACTCCCCTCATGCTCCTAATCTTCCTGAAATTCACTCCTTTCTTCCCACTCTAAGCCCTGCATCTGCTCCTCCATTTCCCTCTCCTTCCTCCTTAAACTCCCCGCTTCCTTCGCTCCCTTCTCCCCTTCCCTCCCATTCCCTTTTTTCTGAGCCCCCTCTCCCTTCCCCCTTCTTTTCCACTCTCAGTCCCCTCCGTTTCCCCTTCCCCATCTCCCTTTTCTCTTTAAGCCACTTCCCCTAACTTTCTCCTTCTACCCCATTTCGTTTCTACCTTCCTTTTCCATTTTCCTCCTCCCTTCCTTCTAAACCTCCCTCTCTGACAGTCGTAAGTAATAAATGTGCATAAACTGACGCTCTAACCACTAACTGGAATCATAATGCAGATAATAATAATAATGATGATGATAATAATGATAATGATAAGACTAAGATCAATAACAGTAATGGTAATGACAAAAATAGACCCATAATAATGTTATAATGATAAAAATTATATTCATAATAATGATGATGATGATATTGCAAAAGCAGAATCATATAATAATTTTTATCGTATATATGATTTCTTTATCTGTACCGTCACCATTACATATGTTGCTATTATTATTGTTATTATCATTATTATT